TATCTCTCTTCCTCTCCCCCTCGTCCCTATCTCAACAACTACCCTTCAGACACACTCATTCTCTCCTCCTCCTCCTCCTGCCCCTCCCCTCCCACCCCCTGCCCTTCCTCCTGCACCCCCCCCCCCCCTGCCCCCCCCCCCTCTGCCCCCCTTCCTCCTGCCCCCCCTAAACACGTCAAGTATCTACTCCACACAACAACACTCAACAAACTGTAATAATTTTTTTCTTAAGCAATATAAACAACAACAATGTTTACTAAATCAACAACCTGACTGTACTCAAACAACAGTATTACCAACTCAACATTACAGCCACTACCTCCAATCAGTATTACCAACTCAACATTACAGCCACTACCTCCAATCAGTATTACCAACTCAACATTACAGCCACTACCTGTTAATTAAGAACCTGTCCTATAGAGATATCGCTAATGCACCTTAACTCTTAAATAGGTGAAGTGAGCATGTGAGTGAAGGGTGTCCGTGGCCTGGATCTGGTACCACTGCCCACTCACTCCCACTCGTCTTGGCAATACTTTTTTTTTCCCCAGGTGGTATAAAATGATGTAATGCCTTAATGGGTGTATAGGTAGGTGTAATGGGAGTGGGGTGTTTTTTTCCCAGGTGGTTTGCATTCTAATAATGGTTTATGTATAAGATTTATGGTTTAATATTAAGGTTATGGGTTTATTAAAGTGGTTTGAGATGAAGTCATTGACCCGGTTTAAATATTAAGCTTTATCGTGTCCATATAGAGCTTACAGTAAATACTGTCAGAGGAATACACAATGCTTTATTCTCACTCTCTCTCACTTTCTCTCCCTTTTTCTTTTACTTTCTCTCTCTTTGTTTTGTCTTGGTCTTTCTCATTATTTAGATTTTTACTCTTTTTCCCTTTCTTTTTTGTCTCTCTCTCTCTCTCTCTCTCTCTCTCTCTCTCTCTCTCTCTCTCTCTCTTCGGAAACAACTAAACAATACCAACCAACAATCATACACAGGTTAGTGGTTGTCAGGTGACGTCATAGCAACACGGGGTCAAGTCTTAACAATAATTAATCGTCTTACTGAGGTCAACACTTAACATATTATTTCCTTATGTTTTATGCACACGAGAGAGAGAGAGAGAGAGAGAGAGAGCTGATTACACAAAATATTTCACTGCTGAGAAAATGATAATATATAATTATAATCTGGTCGATAATAAGAGAGATATACCAACAATTGAAACTAAAATAATATTAATAATTTGCAACGAAACCACGAAAAAAACCCGAAACCAAACACCAAAAAAAACGGGATAGTGTACAAAAAAAAAAAATGAAACGCGATATTTAAACTCGATCATCTCGGGTAAAATAAATTCCCTTTGTCTAAATGAACAATATATGTGTGATGTAGTTTTCTTATGGTGTTTTATGGTGTTAATACCTATACGATTCCCCTACCGAACATCATAATAGGGCCATAGACGCCATAATAAACGCCATAACAGACGCCATAAAGGGTGTTGTGAGCACAGTACCACGTATTTATTATTTTTAACCTGACGAAGGAATAGACTAATATGTTTGTGTCAGGAATGAATGTCAGGAGGAGACGAGAAGTGTCAGCAGGCGACGGAGGCTGACTTGACTCACGACATTCCGGCGCCAACACCTGCTACCTCAGCATTGCCACCTCCCTTACCTCCCTCACACTCTCTCTCCATCTCTCCCTCACTCTCTCCCTCCCTCACACACACACACCCTCTCCCTTCCTCCCTCCCTCACACTCTCTCTCCATCTCTCCCTCACTCTCTCCCTCCCTCACACACACCCTCTCCCTTCCTCCGTCCCTCACACTCTCTCTCCATCTCTCCCTCACTCTCTCCCTCCCTCCCTCCCTCACACTCTCCCTCCCCTCCCTCCTCCCTCACACTCTCCCTCCCTCCCTCACACACTCCTTCACACCTTGCTGCTAACCACGGCTGACTATAATTAATTAATCGCGATAGGTTTTAACAAGTGTATGGGGGTTTCTCGCCTATCTCTCGTTTCTGTCTGTCTGTCTGTCTGTGGCTGTCTGTCTGTCAGTTTATCAATATATCTACTTATTATGTATTTAATAATTTGTCTTCCTTTTTCCTTTATTTCTATTCTTTCTTCGGTTTATATTATCTACAAGTTTATCCATTCCTTCTTCACAGTCTTTCGTTATCTCTACTCTTTCTCTCCTCTTACTGTCTCTTGGTCTGTCTCTCTTGTCATTTTCTCCATCTCTCTGCATGTTTCTTATCTCCTGTTTTCTCTCCATGGAAGTGGTTAAAGAAGGGAGAAGTTTGTTTTATTTTTCATTCGTTCTCTATCAATTCTTCTTCTTATTGTTTTATGTTATTACTAAATTATTGTTATTGTTATTATTCTCTGTTGAATTTCACCCTACAGGTTACATTGGTTACTGATATCACCTTGTGGGTCCGTCAGTCTTTCTGTATGTGAACTAAAATATAACTCAAAACTGATGCGATAATTTGAATGAAACCTGTGTGAGACGAGATGAAAAAAAAAACCAATATTTAACCACGGAGAAAGTTGGTCAAACAGGCCGAGGTCAATCTTAGGTCAAGGTGAAAATTATGCCCTGGTATCCAACTGAAGTCTTTGCCCGTCACTATACGAATATTGAAGAGGGTTTAAAAAAAATATCAAGAACTTCGGCTAAGATTGTCACTGGTATGATGGATGGTGCGTTTGGGGAGTGACAGCCTCATCAAGGGCATATTAGCACTCATTAACACATGCTATATACAGTATTGGCTTCATTCAGTGACTAATCCACAGCTTAACCTCCCGCCCGCGTCAACAGGTCCACTGTGTATCAATCCGAGTGACTTGAAACTCACTTATACGCACTGAAGAATGATTATGGTAGCGTTTTAATTCACTTTCTTTATTCGAAGTAACTGTAATTACATAATGTCGCATTGCAAGGAAATTTGTGAAAAATATGCTCAAGTTTGGGATGATTTACTTAGTCGAGACGGACAAACCCGCTCATGTACACCCACTAAAAAATTATTCGGCACTCTTACGGCGTGATACAATATGACCCGGGTGCCGAATAGGAGACATCACTTCCTTTCATAATTATCGTCACACGTCAACAACTCAACAACAACAACAATAATAATAATAATAATAATAATGAACACTATCCTTGCTGCCACCACCATCGCAATCATCGTCACTATCATCATCATGTCACACTCATCATCATCATCATCATCATCATCATCAGTTATAGTCCACCACAATTGGCATATCAGCTCATCTACTCATAAAAGCCAGCCAAGAGACTTACAGTAGATCTTAACAATTTACCTGAGTACATATTCAAATGAACCTGTCACACACACACACACACGCACACACTACCTGGCTAAGTTACTCAGTTCCACAAACTCTTCAACTCAACTTCCAGGATCGGTAAACAGCACAACTTAGCTCCGTCCGTTCTCTCAGCCTATACGGACAGATAGGTTGATGTCTTGTCTTGAAAGGTAAAGTTACTTGTCCTTAGTGGTATAAATCTAAGGACGTAATTTCGACGCCATTCTGTCCGTGAGTTAGTTTTGATGTTTTTACTGGCCAGAGGGAAAAAATAACCATCTCGTGGCAGTCGTGTTGATTCAAAGCCAGATTCATTTTAATTCAGACATCGTTTACTACTGAACCTCACAAACGAACTTAACTGAAGGAAGTTTAAGATAGTTTATACTTTAACTGACTTATTATTACACACACAGTAAACACAAGGTAACCAATACATTCTTAAAAACAAAAGCAAACCATGAAACAAAAGACTAGGCAATGTTAAGTAGTTCCCCCTATCCTAACATCTTTTATTAGGATCTCCTTATTAAATCCTTCTATAACTTACTACCGTCATCCTCCTCTTGAACATCAGTGTTTATATAATTAAGTATGCCATATTTGTTATTGGCATTTGTGAAAGTTTATGGTTTGTCATGATAAGACCTGAAGTATGGGTGATACCTCCTCCTCCTAGAATCTTTATGTTGTGTGGGTGATGGGATGATGATAGCGTTGAATATTACGTCCGGTTTGTATTTTATGGCAATACTGAGGGAACCAAGTTGGCTACACCTCACTTAGCTATGTGTAAGAGCGAGAGTTTTTTTTTAATGTTTTATTTGGATGTTAGTAGTAGGATAATCAGAAAAGAAGAAAGATCAAGAAAAAAGGGAAATCAGAAATCATGAAGCTTGTTAAAACAGTCTTACAGTCTTTGAGAGTTGGTGGCATAAACGAGACAATAATCAAAAGAGACAATTGATGAAACTTTAAAGAGAGTAAGAGTTGTAATACTGATGAGTTAAGGGATCTCAACAAGTGACCCAATTGTGTAAAAATGAGATGGTAAAGTGCTCTTCCTATTCCTCCATACATACTTGGTCAGTGTGAACAAGAGGGCGTCACCCACTTTGTGTTTTGGGATGTTGAACACCCAGGAGCATTAAGGTAACGATAGACACAACAGAAGTATTAAACATTCACAGTGAGGAGAGGAAAAGCTGAAGCTGATGAAAATAATGTCAGGGTTGTATAGGCAGCAGAGATGATTTATAGAGGGGGAGAAAGTTAAGAGTTTCTGTAAGGAAGAGTGGATTAGGTTTAGTTATTTGTTAGTGTAAGTGAATAAGATCAAGATTGGTATTCCAGCCTTGAATTCAGTACTGGAGGGAGATCTACACTCTTATGGCGGTTATGGGTCGAACTTATATGAGGACTATTAGACAAAGACTGTTTAACTCTTCCTCCTTCTCGCATCTTTTTCGTTTACTAGGAGGAAAAACTTCGTTATAGCCCATGATAGTAATGTATGTGTCCTAAATTATACTGCTACAGATACAAACTCCACCAGCGTCAGTAATCTTAAGTTCAATGTAATATTTCTTTCTGTATGTAACTAACCTTCGACTTCTTTCTCTTTTTCAGGGTTGACGCGAGTCTTGAAGGTGTCGACCAGGTGAAGGACAGTTAATATCACTTCCCATTCACCTTCGCCAAGAGAGTAGTAATTCTGGTAGACGTGGATCACCTCAACAAAGCACGAGTCAGTGGGATCAAGTTGCTGGCTGGTCGGTGGTGATTGTCGTTCCTCGTTTGCTTACTGTCCTTGTGGCCGACGACCGCGCCTCACTCGTATGGGGTTCGCCTATATAAATCTAACCTAGACACAAACACACACCTCTAGTTCTTCTAGATATATATTTCAACTCCAGTGGCATTTATGCTCGTGAAAATGAAGGAAAACTTTTAAACAGCTCTTACGTGAAGTACAGTAACAACTAAAGAAAGATTCTCGTTGAAAAATGTATACGCTGAGAGACTAACAAACACAGAAAGATGAACATTTTAGCCAAGTGTGACAAGATGGAGAGGTGTGTGAGATTGTTGTGTGTGGCGCTGCTGCTGGCGGCTCTCCCCGTCCTCGCTAAGGTAAGTACTCATGAGCCTCTTCTTGTATTTGTACTCTACCCTAAGTTATACAAGTACCATGTTACCCAAGGACTGCTGTAACTTTGTCTATTGTACTCCAAGTGTGTTGGTTCCGTGTTACAAAAGTACTCACTTGTTTTGCCTGCTGTCACTGAGCGAACATCGGTCTAAATAAGACTTGAGCAGCGTGATGTAGGACCGAACACCATTACAGACACGCTCAGTGATCACGCGACAGATGAGCTGCCTAACTAGTGGTGTGGTGAGTAATAGTGCCCTGGCAGGTGAGAGAGTGACCCACCTGGCGGCAAAAGAAGTCTGGTATTTTAAGTAAGGTACTAAATAGGTTAATAGGGTAAGAGCCCACCTGTTCGACCTACCCCTCGGCTGCCCCCGTTCCGTCAGGCCTCCTCTACATTTCTCGGTTTATATTCGCAAATTTTGTATTTTGCTTCCTGATACAAACTTCAGCCGTGTTGATGCGAAGTACAAAAAACAGAGACAGCAACACAAGCAACATCGCTTAAGAGCTTTCGTCAAGTTTAAACACGTGTTGCAACATACACCTGTTTATGATTATAAAGGTTTGTTTTGGACGGGATATTATGATGCAACGTTTGTTAACAGTAACATTTACGGTGTCAGCAGCTGTGGTAGTTTATGTGAACGAGGTCATATGACTCATGTGTGTAGCCCGCAGGTTAGAGATAGAACACAACTTATACACAACGATGTGAACCACATTGAATGTTCCCTCGAGTACAGAGATGGACTGTTGTTAACGTCATGTGGAGTCCTCGCTACTGACTACAAACGCCGTAGGTGGAAAGACAGCTGTTTGTGCAGAAGGAATCCACAAACATGAAGAAAAGATCAAAGAGTGATGAGTAAATTCCTTATCACCACAATTATATTATGTTTATAAAGGTCAGATCCTGTGGAGATAAATGTTGCAAAAATAATCTAATGTTAGTTATTTCTCTTTTCTAATTGGTAAAGTGAGAACCCAGAAGGCAGCTGCACGCACACACACACACACACACACACACACACACACACACATTAAGAGAGAGTATCATAGGTTGGATCAGAGTCAAAGACCAGCAACAGATAGAGACGTTTAACTTATTGGTCTCCTGTTGGTGTATGTTGGTGTATGTTGGTGTATGTTGGTGTGTGTTGGTGTATGTTGGTGTGTGTTGGTGTATGTTGGTGTGTGTTGGTGTATGTTGGTGTGTGTTGGTGTATGTTGGTGTGTGCTGGTGTATGTTGGTGTATGTTGGTGTGTGTTGGTGTATGTTGGTGTATGTTGGTGTATGTTGGTGTCATGTTGGTGTCATGTTGGTGTCATGTTGGTGTCATGTTGGTGTGGTGTGTGGGTGTATGTTGGTGTGTGTTGGTGTATGTTGGTGTGTGTTGGGTGTATGTTGGTGTGTATGTTGGTGTATGTTGTGTGTGTTGTGTATGTTGGTGTGTGTTGGTGTATGTTGGTGTATGTTGGTGTATGTTGGTGTGTGTTGGTGTATGTTGATGTATGTTGATGTATGTTGGTGTATGTTGGTGTATGTTGGTGTATGTTGGTGTATGTTGGTGTGTGTTGGTGTATGTTGGTGTATGTTGGTGTATGTTGGTGTATGTTGGTGTATGTTGGTGTGTGTTGGTGTATGTTGGTGTATGTTGGTGTGTGTTGGGTGTGTTGTGCATGTTGGTGTATGTTGTGTATGTTGGTGTGTGTTGGTGTATGTTGGTGTGTGTTATGTTGGTGTGTGTTGGTGTATGTTGGTGTGTGTTGGTGTGTGTTGGTGTATGTTGGTGTGTGTTGGTGTATGTTGGTGTATGTTGGGTGTATGTTGGTGTATGTTGGTGTATGTTGGTGTGTGTTGGTGTATGTTGGTGTATGTTGGTGTATGTTGGTGTATGTTGGTGTGTGTTGGTGTGTGTTGGTGTATGTTGGTGTATGTTGGTGTATGTTGGTGTATGTTGGTGTGTGTTGGTGTATGTTGGTGTGTGTTGGTGTATGTTGGTGTATGTTGGTGTATGTTGGTGTATGTTGGTGTACGTTGGTGTCATGTTGGTGTCATGTTGGTGTCATGTTGGTGTCATGTTGGTGTATGCATATTATACATACAGTGTTAAGGTTACCACTAATCACCGGTCCTGGATGGCCTTCCCCTCCGAGTTAAACACACTGATGAACTATACGCAGGTGTTGACGGGTCACCAGGCCGTAATGGTCACTACTGGGTGTTCCATACTGGGGTTTAAGACCAATTGATATCTTATTTCTTAGGTCTTTCATCACTCTGATTACATGATTTATCAACTGTTTTGTTTATTCTCTTTGGTGTTTTATGTTTATGTTTTGTGGGAGTGATAGGATATGCACATACATACATACATACATACATACATACATACATACATACATACATACATATATAATATTAATAAACAACCTGAGAGACGTCACGCTAGGCTTCATGATAAGAATGATTAGGTCACATGTTTGTCGTTAGGTTAGGTTAGGTTAGGTTAGGTTAGGTTAGGTTAGGTTGTTGAGGTTCAGGTTTTACGAGAAGAGATTGTAGTCACTAACAGACGTACAGGACAACGAAGGAAGAGTCATCTAAAAATTTGTCTAAGTCATCTGCATAATTAGATAAACACTTTAACCCGTTATGTACTAGGGTCTCTGTGTTGAATAAAATCATCTGACGTTAACCAAATAAAATATCAAAAGTATTCGACCCCGCAGTAAAGGTGTTAACGGAGATATTTTATAAATGAGGAATAAGCAAGAGGGAAATAGCTTGAGGAAGAGAGAGAGGCAGCCCTCCACCCTGACTTACTCACCCAGTCATATCAAAACACTTTTCACGGTCTCTCAACTCCCTACGACCTTGAGAGCCTCTGGGGGCCGCCTGTGTGTGTGTGTGTAAGTGTGTGTAAGCTTACGCAGTGTACCTTCGCTCTCAACCTCGAAGGGAGTGAAAGGTACTACTACTACTACTCTTCCTGGACCTTGGTGCTGATCCTTGTTTGAATGTCCCATCGTGGCCAGGTCTTTCCCACACCCATCCACCTAGTACCCCATCTCCCTACACCCACCCTCCCCCCCCCACATCTATGACCTTCCTACACTTTTACGTGGCGTGTGATACCCCCTACCCTCCCTCCCTCCATCTGACAATATTAGTCTTATTATAAACTGTTTGTCTCCTACTGTTGCTCACACTCTGCTTGCCCTGCTGACTCGGCACTTCTTCAGGGGCGAGAGACGAGAGGCGTATCAGAGCCAGCCATTCCGTAAACAGGTGGTGAGGCGGCGTACACCAGACAGGGGGAAACATTACTCACTAAGGCCGTGACTCCCGTGTTAAGAGGCAGAAGGTGGTGGTGAAGAGAGGCACTACTGTTGTGTGTGTGTTCCCTCGTGTTCAACAAATATCATGGCTGACAACTCCAAGATTGACAATGTTAACGAAGTGTCGCTCGTCAGGTGATATAGATATTCATCAGGTGTTCGTCAGGTGAGGTGAAGGTGTTCTCTTAACCCCAGACGGAGACCCATGGATATCACCAGACACCACCCCGACAGGATTTTAAGAATCATTTAACCAAACACACCCAAACTCAACCGAGGTTTAGCTACTTGAGTTGTGTTAAGGTCGATGGCAGTATAGGTCTCGGAGGAGGGATACAGTAAACAGCTCCACCAGGGCCAAACATTATGACCTTCCTTCCTTCCTTCCTTCCTTCCTTCCTTCCTTCCTTCCTTACGACTCTTCAACAACTATAAGATCATTCAACACGTATTATATCTTATAGTAAACAGACAAGTCATCAATACGTAAGAGAGATACATCGCTCTGGTTTTCGCCTTGATGATCTAGACACACCTGCTGTTACCAGGATTTGGCGGGAGGTTGTATTAAAAAACAAACATTCAATTCTTTATATATACCACGCCTAGAGAGTCACAAATCAATATGACACAATGGATGAAGGATTTTGACAACCCTAACTAGATAATAGGATTCGAGGTGTTCATTTTGACATTCATTGGAGAGAGAGAGAGAGAGAGAGAGAGAGAGAGAGAGAGAGAGAGAGAGAGAGAGAGAGAGAGAGAATGATGGCTCGAAAACATAAGAAAAATGTCGAGAAAAGTGATGATGAAGTGAAGGAAAGTAAAAGGCATCAATGTGAGGAACATGAGGAAACACTGTGGAGGAGAGGGAGGAAGAGGAACAGGAGGAGAGGGAAGGAGAGGAGAAGGAAGAGAAGGGGGAGTAGAGGGAAGAGGAAGAGAGGAAGAAAGAAGAACAGGAAGAGAGAAGAGAAGGGGGAGGAGAAGGTGAACAAGTAATCGATAAGCAGCTAAAAATAAATCCACTTTCATTATATTCAACTCATAACAGGACAGCCATCAAGGAGAGAGAGAGAGAGAGAGAGAGAGGGGGGGGACGGACCAATTGTAATCATAAGGGAAGGTGACAAGATTGTGGTGACGGGAGAGGTGAAGGCAAAGAGTTGGGTAAAACAGCGGAGTGAAAGTTACGTCTTGTGGGAGATGGCACTAAGACACACACACACACACACACACACACACACACGCACACACACACACACACACACACACACACACACACACACACACACACACACACACACACACACACACACACACACACACACACACGCCACTAAAATCAGGGAAATATACATCTTTATGACCTTATACTAAAACAAATTGGAAAAAAAAAACTTACGCCTTTAGAGTAAACACCTGAGGCTACACTGGTCAGGGCTGCCTGTGTTATGGCTGGGAGTAGAGTAAAACACGAGGGGTTTGGCTGGCTTTAACCTTGATGTTTTGCAAGGTTGACTCAAGACCCCGAAACGATGCGATGAAAAAAGTGAAAGGTCTTGGGGAATAAGGAACTGAGAGATGGAAGAGAGTGAAGGTAAATGAGATATGTGAGGGAGATAAGGGGATAATT